CGAAGACATCTCCGGCGATGGGAGGAGCATTGTTCCGGCAGCCAGGACGACATGTGGCCAATGAAAACGTGACATATGGTTGACATCATCGCAAGCGCTGTTTTCACAAAATGTGGACGCTTTTGTAGATGAGAAAAGCAAATAAGAGTAGTCGAAAAATTGTAATTTTTCGCGGAGAGTTAACACAACAATGCAATAATCGCCTCAGTAACAGCGCGGTGTGTTGTTTTCTTTCTTCCTCGGGGGATTGATGTGTCCGTTCATCAGCTGTCGACCGTGCGCTCGCTGGGTTGAATCGGTATGAGCAACGAGCCGTGCGCATTCGAGATATCACTTCACCGTTCCAGCGGTCGGAGGCGCGAGGATCCTTCGCTTGCTATAGACCATTCCATTTAGCGCTCTCTGGGCGGCACCATTTTGTTCGACCGCAGCGCCCTCTCCACACATACGGGAACTTCAGCGGGTTCGGCGGGGTAAAACGAGAGAGAGGGCACGCGCCCGACTCCGCTAGCAGACGACTAACCGGGAGGTTGCCGTTCTCCATCCTTGGGCTGTATCGGCGGACTGTACGGAACATCGAACTCTCGCTCGTGGCTGCCGTTGTGAAGTGGTTCGCGTTCTTAGAATTGTTGTGGCTACTCCAAAATCAGCCTATAGCTCTCTGTTGCTCTATTTTGCTAAATGATCAACTAGCATATCTTTTTTCCGTTACTTAAATAGCAGTTGGATTAGCCGGCAGTACTACCTTCAACTACTGCTTGTATTGCGGCAGGAGAGCACGTTTTATTTATTATTTCAGACTTCCACTCACGGTCGCTAAAGGCCTACACCAGTACAAACTTTTGTATAGTAAAAAAGGTACAGCAACCGGATTTACTTTTCGCCAAAGAGACCGGCCAATCTACACAGTTTTCCCTATTTTTTTTTTTTATGTGCACGCAGGTAACAGCGCAATTGAACCCTGTGAGTCTTTTATCTAGCATAATACTACACGATAACTGGCATACCAAAATCTGCGCATCTGCGCTTGGAAGTTCCAAAATGACGCGATTTTAAACAGAGTTTGTACGCCAGCCGGACGCTAGCTACAGCCCACTCGGCGGAGCGGACGACATGCGGGGTGAAAAGGGGGAGTGCATTTTTTTTTCTCTTTTACCCTCTCTGCTTTGACCCTAATGGAACGGTCTATAGACCATTTCATTTAGCGCTCTCTGGGCGGCACCATTTTGTTCGACAGCAGAGCCCTCTCCGTACATCCGGGAACTTCAGCGGGTTCGGCGGGGTAAAACGAGAGAGAGGGCACGCGCCCGACTCCGCTAGCGGACGACTAACCAGGATGTTGCCATTCTCCATCCTTGGGCTGTATCGGCGGACTGTACGGAACATCGAACTCTCGCTCGTGGCTGCCGTTGTGAAGTGGTTCGCGTTCTTAGAATAGTTATGGCTACTCCAAAAATCAGCCTAGAGCTCTCTGTTGTTCTATTTCGGTAAATGATCAACTAGCATATCTTTTTTCCGTTACTTAAATAGCGGTTGAGTCAGCCGGCAGTACTACCCTCAACTACTGCGCGTATTGCGGCAGGAGAGCACGTTTTATTTATTATTTCAGACTTCCACTCATGGTCGCTAAAGGCCTACACCAGTACGAATTTCGTGTAGTAAAAAAAGGTACAACAACCGGATTTACTTTTCGCCAGAGAGACCGGCCAATCTGACACAGTTTTCCCTATTCTTCTTTTTTTTTTTTATTTGCACGCAGGTAACAGCGGAATCGGACCCTGTTAGTCTTTTTGTCTAGCATAGTATTACACGACAACTGGCATACCAAAATCTGCGCATCTGCGCTTGAAATTTCCAAAATGACGCGATTTTAAACAGAGTTTGTACGCCAGCCGGATGCTAGGTACAGCCCACTCGGCGGAGCAGACGATACGCGGGTGAGAGGGGGAGGGCATTTTTTTCTCTTTTTACCTTCTCTGCTATGACCCTAAGGGAACGGTCTATTGGCTGACAGTGGTCCTGGTTTCGGAACATCCTCCTCCCATCGCTCGACATGACCTCGTTGTGTTGCGACCTTTGATTGCTTTTTTGATAGGAAACTCCATCCTGTATCGTCATGACCAGGGAATTTATAGAATGCTTAGAGCCTGCAGAGTGAGTTATTGCCATATTTAGGCCATCTCAGCAGTCTCCTTGGGGCACCTTTAAGCCCCAGTCGATTAGAGGCATTTCCACTCACCTAACAGTGCATTGAAGAATTGTCTTAGTAACCCGCGAATAGCTTCTTCGCGCTCTCACATTCTGTCCTTCACTGCAGTCAGCCAGTCATTTAGTATAAATTTATCAACTTGTAATGGCTGCGCTAGGGCTATGCTATTCTCTACTATTGATCTGCCTGTAAGGGCATGGAACTATGAAAGAACTATGTTACAAGGGTGAGGCAAGTGGGTTCATCTTAGCGCCTCCTGATGCTGGCGAAGCTTGAAAACTTCGGTGTTGTATAAATATTCAGTGATTATGGTGGTAAAAATAAAATGTCGTTTTGTTCTCGATAAGAAGAAATGTAAACAGATTGACATGCTGGTAATTTGTGCAAGTGTAGTGTCATTAATGTATAAAGGGCGGAAGGCATGCTCTCATCTACGGAAGGTTAAGCAAAAGCTCACTCTAAAAATAGAACTGCTTGTGGTTTTCTCTTGACCAAAAAACATATTTGTCAGGCGTAGGAAACACCCAGACATGGTAGACATGGTACGTGTTCTGCCAGAAAGCACAATTCAAATAACTCTTTAAATATAGGGACAATACAAAGCGAAACGTTATACGAGAAACGTGGGCTTTACAAAAAAGTTGAAAGAAACAACACCTAAACAATCAAACCAAGATAAATAAAAATAAAAAAAAAAACACATCAGTTATGCAGCGCCGCACCACGGCGAACGCTGAAACAACCACCGTCGCCGGCGACCCACCCATACCCGCACCGACCCGTGCAACCCAGCCCCCCAACCCCGCGCTACATACCGCGTGTGATTGAATGCAGATGGCCAGATTACTTAATTGCCCTGGGGACGTGTTGCGCCTTACCCCCGCTGCCGCTGGCCGCCCTCCGCCGCTATTACGCCATCGACGGGGCAGACCCAATCAGGCTGGCCATTAACAATGCACGCAGCCGCCGCCAGGGGCGCTGCCGGCGTGACCCAACCCATGGCTGGGCAGGCAGCAGCGTAGGCGGCGTGCCTGCACGGTTCACTGTCGATAGCTATTCACTGAAACTGGCTCATTCATCTTTCCTTTCCTAAAACTCTGAGCGGGAGAGAGGGAAAGAAAAATGGGAAAAACGGGAATGAGGAAAGGGGGAAAAGAGGGGGGGAGTCTGGATCACCCCTCAGTCGCTCAGCCACGCCGGCGCGCTTGCAGCCTAGCTCCCACGAAAAATTACTCGCTGATTTAGTCATAGAGGAGAAGAGGGTGACATATTGAGCGTGTTATGCGATGGCTCTGCGGGAGGCTTTTTGGGGAAGTCTCGCCCGCCGCGTACGTGAGGGTCTGCATGTGCCTTTTCGGGGTGTGAGTGCACGCAACCGCCCTTGCTATTTTTCTTTATTATTATTATTATTGCTTCTTTTTCGTCCTGAGGGTTCCGCTTGTCGCCATCGTCTTTCGCTAAACGGGGTCATGAATTCATGGCCCTGGCTGCTTAATAGCGCTGAACATGGGTGTGATTGTTCTGCCGTTTAAGTAAAGAGCGCGCCTCTTAAACGAAATGGTAGCGCTGGTGGCGGGTGACGTGCGATGCACTGAGCCAATCTGCGCGTTTTGAGATTAAGCGTATAATCTCGAAATCGTATAAGCTAAAAGGAATAAAAATACTATTACTGCAAAATGTATAACGTTATCTAATCAAACGAAATGTATAAACTTTTGTCCAGGGCCTCACAAGACGACTCTTACGTTTATCGCCATTGCTTTAAAGCCTGGAGTTTTGAGTCAACAGCTTCGTTTCTTTCAAACTTTAGGATACGACCAACGCGTACCCAACAAAATGGAAACTGTAGTAACCAGCCATATGTCAAAAATGTGTTCATTAAGTTAATTTGATTAGTAGGTGAGCCTGAAAGTTCGTTCCTTAAATAAGGTGCTACATATGATAAAAGGCCCCTTTTTAAGCGATTTTGTCATAAACCGGAAGGTCAAGCTTACACAGGCCACTCTTTTTTTTTTATGTTATGCGTGAACTGTAGTTTATACTTCACTTCCAAGGCTTTTTGAAATTGAAATCTAAATTGACAAAATTAGATAACGCTCTGCTTATACAAACTTCCAGAAGGATAGGGGAAAAGGCAAAGTTGCCTTACTAGGCCCTATTTCCCGGTGTAAATCAGTAGCAAACTGCACAAATTAAAACAATTTGAACGTTTTGCAAACAATAAATACTGATATTTCAAAACGTTGCTTCATATTGGACATCATAAAACATATCATAGTACAATAGCCGTTTTAACAAGTCTAAGTAAAATACTTTATGTTAAATCTAAGAGCTATTTTAGACCTACGTTAAATTTGTGTGTTGTGTCGGAGCGGTTAATTATTGACAATATTTCTGGATTGGTGTTTAGTAGCTGTTAAATGTAATTAGGTATATTTTTGTGTACCATAGTTCGTGCATGTATTTTGACTGGAAGTAATGCGTATGTAATTAGGCACGAGAGAGACTTTAATGCGTATGATAGATTAAAGCCGTTTCACACAGCGCTGTTTGCTTACGTTGCGGTGTATTACTTCTGCTTACTCCGAGAGTCACCAAAATATCTGTTCTTCATATTAAGCGTGGCAACCAGTATAAGCACTGTAGCATTGCACGGGACATTTAATGCACAGATGTTCCGGTGACAACGTTAGAAAACGTGAGCAAACGCTCCTGTGCGAATCGGTCTTTACGAAAACTAACCCAGCAGCGTGTCTGACCCCGTGTCCACGTGTTCTCGTTTTGTTCGCAGGCGAAAAGCCCCACAAGTGCGCCGTGTGCGGCAAGGCCTTCAGCCAGTCCTCCAACCTGATCACCCATAGCCGGAAACACACGGGCTTCAAGCCTTTCGCCTGTGACGTCTGCGGAAGGGCCTTCCAGAGAAAAGTCGACCTCCGGAGGCACAAGGAGACTCAACACGCCGACATCAGGCCCATCTAACTCCGTCTGGTTCGCACTCTGTCCAGTCATCGCGTGTCCTGCTGCGCTGTACAGACTTTTGCCAGGACCACAACCTTGAGCGTCGAGATTCGCGGTGTCCTTAGCACCACGAAAACACGCAGACTGAAGACTACCAAAACTCAAGGTCATAACTACTCAGACACTCAGGCTCAGGTTCTTTCCAGAAAACTTCTACAAGAGCTCGTCAACTTCAGCGGCTAGCGTATAACTGGAGCTAGAGTTCCTTAAAGTTGACGCACGTTTTCGGGAACAACTTGTCCTCGAGAGCTCCAGGGACTTCAAGGAATCCGAGCATCCAATGGCAGGCTCTAACGATCAGTGTATACCCGGCCTTAAATGGGACCTCGACTAAAGAGAAAATAGGTGATTGCTGTATAAAAAAGAAAGAAAAAAGAGCGCCACCTTAAATGTGTATACGAAAAGAGATTGAAAGAGAGAAGATATGAGATCGCGCGGGGAACGCTGAGATCTGATTAGAGGGATTAGTAGATAGACCCTGCGTAAGGAGCTGAGCACACGCTTGTTCACTTTGATTGGAGGGAGCGGGTGGGTAAAAACGAAGGCAGCTATGCTGTGCGTCAATCCACTAAACCTTCCAATCAGAGCTCGGCGTTCTGACGTAACCGGACTCTTTTATCTCCTCTTCTTTAGTTTCTTTCCATAGAGTCTAAAGGAATGCGAGAATCAAGCCGGCTAGAAGGAAGAAAGATAGTTCTGAAAGTCTGCGAGAGGCCAGAAGGGTTTGAAGACCGCTGCATCGATGGCTATCGAGGCGATTACGCTTCTGGACCAACACTTTTCATTACTGTAACGACTGGAAACTGACTCAGGACGAGGACGAGCGCAGCGCCCTTACTGATGAGCGTTCCTGGTATCGTTCTGCAAGTCCAATGGATAATGCCTGACTACGGTGAAAACGAGTCAGATCGCTTATACGGATACTCACTGGAGCACACACGCACGATCGCCCCTTCCGTCCAATGCCAAATGCCAGGAGCACATGTTGGTACGACAAAAAACGGCATCGCATGCGTTGGGAATTATTCGGCGGACGTGCTCGCACCGGTGACGCCGCTGTATACGAAACTGTCTCATCAAAAGGAAAAGCGCCGTACATACTGTGAATATTGCCACTTGAAGAGTATCGTTTGGGAACCAAAAAAGAAATACGAGCGTGCGTACTTTTCAGTTCAGAAACATCACAAGCTGCACGTGGTGGGTGTTTAGCGCTCAACAACACTGAGTCAGAGTTTATTTATCCAAACGAACTTTAAATCGAGAGTTTGAATAGCTCCAATTAAGAAAAAAACGTTTCTAAATGCGTGTACAATAGTTCCACGTTATTTCAGACCCCATCAGTTCAAGAAAGACATGGTATATTACACGAATGTTGGGAAAATGTTACGAACTCGCACAAGAAATCTCAATAAAGATCCGTTGCTACAGAATAGAAAGCATACGGCAAGTAAGGACAACCTTCAACAAAGTACGACACAATTGTTATTGGCCAACTCAAGACCCCACCTTAAATCTCGGTGCCTGCAGCGCGTTTTTGACTGTTGTGCTTCGCGTCTTATCTCACCCATGCATCAAAATGGGCCACGAAGTTGCAACAAATGACATCACAGAAGCTGGCGTGTCATGTTGTCGGACGTCGCGATCCTGGCGGTTGGTGGTAGAAGACTCAGCAAAAAGTACAAGTGAACGCGAGTGTCGCTGTCGTGTCGGAGTCCCAACTACCGGCTGCGGAAGTGAACAGACAGGCTGAAGAGCGACCCGCAGAACAGTGGGCCGGATTGCTAAAACAGCGTCTCAGCTGAGACGGGGTGCAGAAAATCACTGCAAAGGGCTGGGGCGCGCGGGCGTGTCGAGACGTGGTTTCAGTCCCGCTCAGCTCATAGGCTGGCTTTGGCAGTGCTTTCGTGCCCGGAGTCTCAGTTGAGACGCTGTATCCAGAAAGCCGGCCCTGGCGTCTGCCATATTCACTTCCTCTGCTAAGACTACCCCGGGATGGCGGCCAACGACTTCACGACTTTTTTATGACGTCATCAGGCGGAAGTTAAGGAGCTACTTTCTGGGATGCGGAAAACAAACGAGTCGGAAAAGCGTTTCAGGAACCCTATTTAAAGCAAACGAAAGAGTTCATTTGTCTAAGTCTAGTCTTTCTCAAACTGGCGGTGGTTACGTAGTCACTCTATTTGGTGCCATAAATAACGCGGTGGTTAGTAAGAAAAAATCATTCTTTTAATGACCACTTACAAAAGAAACTTATAGTCGAGTTCTAGCAAGTTGTGCAATACCGTAAGCTGCGAGTTCTAGTAGGCTGTCTGTGAGATCAGTATACGTACTACAAAAAAACGTGCACGCTGTTTTTGCTCGGATTTTCACAGTACACTATACACTATCAGATACTTAAGAAGAGCTCTAATAGACAGATACGAAAAGTATACAGTCGTCGGTGCCTTGAAAGCTATTCACTAAACGCGACATAACAATACATCTCCACGTTGCTGCTCTTTCGCCGTCGGAGCAAATTATCATTTGATTCTAGTCAGCTTTTACAACTAACAAAAAGAGAAGAATTTTTGTGCGTGTGTGTGTGTTTACTTTTTTATTATACGGGTGGTTTGTTGTGTTTACTGAAAACTTAAAGTTGCCACTATTTTTCTTATAAACCAGAGGTCACGCGATATTTCGTACAGACATTATGCGTGCGCTATTATTTGCTATTCTATTTTAGGGAACGCTTTGAGTGGTTTCGGATGCGTTGCACGCATGGCACATTCGTGTACGTACACTCCCCGGAGTTTTCAAGGATGATCGAAACAAGTATACTTTTCTTTTTTGTGAACCATGACGTCCTGAGATTTCGTGGAAATCTACACTTCGTCATTCGGAAACCAGCTGCGCGTGCCGACAGTCACCTGCTCATGATCTCTTGAGTCACTTAGTTCATGCCTGCTCTCCCTTTCGTCTCATGTGTGATACCGATTAAAGGCGTCGGGTTGCGAAACGCATGGTCCGAGATTCGATTCCCGCTCTGTCGTTTTTTTTTAACTATCACTAATTATGATTGTGTACGAATAGTCCAGCCCCAAAACACAATCGGTGTTGAAAACATCGATCTCCTTAAGCCAAATAATTTGGACGTTTCGCTGAAAAACGTAATCATCGAAAACCAAAAACATAAATGTTACAGTTCATCTCAAACGACTATAGCGGTGCTAGAGGAGGCATGAACACGAACGCCCAGCTGAACTGCGCGCTTTCCCTGGCTCGAATTTAAAAAAAATATATACTTCCAAAACGTACATACTAGCGCGTCTACCTTTTAGAGCCCTGCACAATATATGTGAGATATGGTGGTATATACATACACTAGTGGCACACTAGTATCACATAAGCATTTCACATAGCACTCGGATACTTTCGGGCAAGGTATAAATTATCTTCCATGATTAAAGGCTCGGCTAGCAGTATACATTGTACGCTCTGTACTAAATGAGAAATAATCTAGTCCTCAGTCACACAGGCTAGTATTGTTTTTTTCTTTTTTTTGCGATAGCTATTTGTCGTTAAAAGAACAAAACACAAAATACCAAAAACATTTTCTATTGTTTCTTTCGTTTTTTTTTGTTTAGAGTCTAGAGATGTTTACCCAGAGACACGGCCGCCGCGTTGTGAAATCAACGCTCGGTCGCGCTTCACAAAAATTGGTCCTCAGGTACACCTCAGATACTTTATGATTAAAAAAAAGTCAACATACGACTGTCATGCTCCGATGGTGAAAGAGAGCCACGCTCTATGTCATATATCATGCGCGCATCTGCGGCATTTCTTCGCAGTGCTTCTCTTACATGATGTACAAAAGCTTCACTGAACAGCAATCTTACTGTGTGCGTCGATGTTGATTATGTAAGTTCTTTCCCTCTTTGCCACTGCTCAGACGGCGAAAAAAATACAAAAAGAAGAATTACGTAACAAGAACCCGTGAAAACAATTCGCCAGAGAAGGCTTGTTTATGTTTGATTTCTCTCGACCGTGTTACAAAATAAATCCCTCCCGGTGTTTATTACTACTTGTCTCGTGTGTTCATTTAGCGAGTACATATACGAAAAAAGAAACTGCTAAATAACCTTAATTTTGAAAGATCTAAAAACTATACTTCAAAGCATATTTTTTCCTATAAAGCTTCATGCGAAGCATAAAATTCTTCTTCACTATTATTTCGCTTTGTTTTGATGGCACATCGCTGCATGCATATTTTCCTGCCGTTCGCGTTGAGTAAATACAATTGTCTACGAAGATAGAAACACAGAACCCACAGTCTCTTCATGGCTATCCTAAGTGTGAAAAAACGCCCTTTTGTGGAAACTCAAGCACCAACTGCATACATGAGCCAAAGGATGACCACAACCATCAAAGCGTAAGAACGTAGACAGAATTTCAAATACGAGCACAAGCCCTAGCTTCGGCCCTACAAAGTTTCAAACATTGTCTTTGAACCACAGGAACTTGCTTGTGTCGAGAGCAATATGCCACCTGATCCTAACAGATCCATCTACCACAAAAGCGGCGACCACCGACACGCAACGAACAAAACAAATTGTTCCCGAGGCCCGCATCGGCGTAAACAAAGGGTCTCAAGTTACCATACCCTAGGCACACGCCGGTTCTACCAATATACATACCATATCAGATGCCCGTTCTGTCCAGCTGTGCCCACTTGCAGCTTGCGTGATCGTTCATATGGAAGAGATTCAAAGACGCGTTGGCACCGTTGGGCAGTGGGAGTCCGCGCCAGCCTCGAAGCCCGGAAGTATCGCCTCGGAGCTGCTTACAAAAAGAGGGCACGTCAGAGGCTCCGTTCGGGAACCGAGTTGAAAGATACACATACGTCTAACGCAGGCGACTCCATCCTTCGTTTGCCCGAATGATTTAGCTTTTTGGCGAAAGGCCACGGAGCGAATGCTGAAGGCCATTCTGGTTTGCTGCTTGTAGGCACTGTTACACGCTCTCAGGTCGGTGCCGAGACAGCCTGGATGCTCGTTTGCTACCAAATACTATGTATTTTTTTAATACGTTTCTATGGTTCGATTACGGTTGTAAATGATCTATATGCTA